CCGTTTTTGGAGGTTTGGTGACCATATGGATGTATCTGGAAATTACTAGAGAAATCTATAACATCACGATCTATGACGTGAATGGATTTTTCGAGAAAGCGCTGAAAGATAGCTGCGTAGACTACAAATAGAAGTTGCTTGCGGAAACTGAGTCAGTATTACTTCATCTGCTGAAGACTTCACTTCGATTGAGCGATTGCTTGAGGATAATCTTTATTGTTACGTATTTGTATTTTTAGACACTGATAATTGCATCTAAGCGTAGTAGAAGTTATGAAAATCTTCCGGAATTTATTGAGAGAATTTTGTTGCTATGTTCTATGCTTTAAGAGCTGTTTATCAATCATAAATTTCATCTCTTTTAAGGAATTGCTTTGTTCTTTGAGACTGATGTCATAAAAACCCCGAACCCCGATCTAAGAAAAGATATATTTACTACAAATCAAAAAGCATTAATGACTATAATGGAACAATAACTAAAAACATTCCAAAATAAGCAATAAAAATCAATTATGTGTACTGTTTACCAAATTAACATTTCTGGCTAAAATATTAAAGGACAACACCCCCTTAAAATTATTAGATTATACAATATTGTTTTTATTGAGCTAAAAAATGATTCTGTATTGGAAAAATTAATTTAGAGAACATTAAATGTTTATCATTGAATGAAATGAATCAGGTGAAATTTCCTAGATTCAGGCAATTTTTGGAGGATATTTTATTGAAGTTATTTTCCATTAACTCAAATTTATTGGGAAATAAATTGCTTTTTTAATAAAAATGACTTAAAAATATATAAAGTGCAATTTCAGTTTTCTAATTTTCCCAGTAAACTTTTATTTTTATTGTAGAAAAATTAGTGAATAAAATCTTTTGCTGTATAGTCATTACTCTGTAAGATTGGATTAATTATAAATATTTTATAGTCATAAAAATGACTCATTTTTAACGTTTTTTTGTTTTTTTTATATCTGTTCTACAAAATGCAAGAAAATTGTGAAAAACCTTTGTGGAGTACTTGCTTTGATACTTAAGTTCTGATATGCTCTGAGTATAATAAAAATACTGTCTGTTTTTATTTTGGAATAGTTTGTTGTGTCTTTGATCCTAAAAAAAGGGGATTTTTCCCCAATGTCTTTTAATTACACAGGGAATTGTGTTTTATACAACCTCTGACAATAAAGTTCGGTGAATCAATGGCTGATCTGACATCACTGAAGAAACAAAACGATGTGCATGTGTAGCGACAGGTATTAACCATCTGCGTCCACTGTTGTTCAGTTGAGCGTCGTTTGTGTTCTGTGTAAGACTCGTTTTACTAAGAGCTTATTTAGTTCGTTGGTTTTTAACTGAGAACAGGAAAATAGATAAACAAAAGATCAATTTAAAGTTTTGTTTTAAGCTTGGCAGGACACCAAAAGAAACGTGTGTTATACTGGTACGTGTTTATGAAGATCTAGAACTGTCCATAAAGTGGTTGTACGAGTGGTTCTGTATATTGAAAAAAGACATAAACGAATGCACAAATCAAAATTATTTGTTTTAGAATAGTGTAAGATTCGCCTGGCGTTAAGGTATCCAAACACGTTGAAAATGACTAAATTCGGTCAAGACAGATATTTTTGTTTTCTCTTTTATTGAATAGAGCTATCTTTTGGCTTTACAGAACATATTTTGTTTTGTTTCTACTCTACGTAAAGGCCAAGCTACAACCAATTTTATTAAGTTAGAAATACCGGAAGTGGGTCTATGATCTACCAGAAGTGGGTATTTAAATTACTCGAAATCTATCATGGCGAGTCTGATTACTCAAAATATTACAAATGTATTCCTATAAAACTTTTTTAACCTGATATTTATGCTATTTTCTAGAGAATGTACTAAAAAATTTCTTATTGTATGAATATTTTTTGAGTTAGGGCTTGTTATTTAAATAATGGTCTCATAAAAAATGTGATTTTTCTTATAATGTGTACTCAATCAACTCTAAAATGTTTTAATTTTAATAAAACATTAAAATTTTAGAACATTCTCTAGATAAATGCATCTAGATTGTTTTGGTAATTTTTTTACTAATATAAGTTTATTACTTTTTTTTAATTGCTTTGAAGTTTTAGAAATATGTTGCTGAAATTTCACTTATAATTGGGATTTTTGTGAAATTTGGGCAATTTATTTTAAATATTGTTAGTTAAATATTAGTATTTATTGGTATTGAGTCCTAAAAAGCCTTTATAATGTTTAAATATGTTATTTTGTTAAAAAGTGCTCCGAACGTGTTCGGATATCTTAAATAATGATATAGGTGGGGCTGCCATCGGAATCGAGAGAAGAGAACAGTACAATATGGTGAGAGGAGTAGAATGGCGGTTACTCTCGCAAGTATTGAAACAAAATGTTCGTAACTAAATTTAATGTATCGTAGTTAGGTTTTTTTATGTTGTGCTTGTTTCGTGTGGCTGTAAATGGAACAATAAATCTTTCACCACTATATGATATACTATTGGTAGTGTTTGATTCTATCAAAAATACTTTTGATAATTTGATATACAAAAACAATTACAAATGAAGGTAACAAATAATTCATAAGAAATCATAATTTAATAATTTTGCGAAAGATACTTTTTTTAAATTCCTAGAAGGAAAAATGATAATAGGAAAATAGAATGATATAATTTATTTATTTATTTATCAAATGTCTGACCATTGACCATCAAGTCATGACGCAACGAGCTTTCCAATACTTTTTCACAATGCAGTCCAAACACTCAAGTGCAGAGCACACGTCTAGATGAGAATCATCCATGACTTGTCCAGAAGCACACAAAACACAAAAGGGGGAGTCAGACAGATTATCAGTAGGATATAATATTGACAGTGTTTAGTTCTATTAACGGTACCCATGACAGATAATAATCAGCTCACTCATTGAATTGCTTATGTTCAAATTGTTCTTTGAATAGTTCATTTTCAGTTCATTCAATAGCTCATGGCAATTTGATATATAAAGATAACAGTTAAAGGTAACACATAATTCATAAGGAATTAATTCTACCAACAGTATTAATGACAATTCACATGTTCAATTCTACAGTTAATGTTCACTTCATTTTCATTCAATAGCTCCTGACAATTTAATACATAATAATAATAATAAATAAAAGGAATACATACGTAAGGAATTGAAATTTAATAAGTGCGAGAGATATTTTTTGAAATACATAGGAAGAAAAATGATAATAGAAAAAACAGCTTGCTATAATATCGGCAGTATTTTATTATGTCAGTAATACTATTGAGGCAATTCATTCAATATATTCATGCAAAAACCAATAACAAGCGAAAAATATTTCTCAAAAGAAAGCAAGTTCACTGTTATGCATCAAATTTATATAAATTTTTCATCAGTTTTCCTGGACGTTTTTTATATGATTCCTTCAAAAATTTAAACCTTCAAAACAATTCCAAAGTTCAAAAAAACCCTTCTAAATAGACACTATTTTACCATATTACATAAACTTAAGTCATAATGTCATCTTACATTTATGTTGTAAACAAATTCGAGCTAAAACTTTCCATTAGCAAGAGGATACAAAAGTACAACTTCTAAAAAAATAATGTACTACCTTTCTCACTAAACGGAATATCTTTAAGATGAATTATTCTTTCAAGAGTATGATATTTTTAAAAAAAGTTCTCTACGAGAAGGCAAGTGATTCACATACATAATTCATGAATTGACCAGCGTCATTGGGACTTATAATACGGTCCTAACAATATGGTGAAAGAGTTCACTAAAAGCCAGCTGCTTTGAATATTTCAGCAACTGGAGTTCAGTGGTTCGTTGGTGGATAGCAACGCTTGGAGGAAGATTTCAACTGCGTATCTAAGGATCCGAAGACATAGTATGCTTTGGATGGTTGGATGAGAAAGGAATTCCCCATCCGGCCTTTTTATTAGTCCCTTTTTATTTGACTTCTGATAGAATTCGAAGGAATATACAGCTGTGGTTGGGTGTGCAGTCTCTTAAACAAGTAATATATAATAAATATTAACACAGGAGAAGGAAACCTCTATACCGACATGTTAAATTGGCTGTTTTTGATGTATCTTTTCTCAAAATCTGGTGTATGTACATGTTTGAAATTTTTCATACAATTGAAGTACACCTTTCTCATTATACTGAAATGAGATTTTAGCTCGTTTTGAATTTTTTTTATAATTTATAAAATATTTTATCAAACATAGTGAAATTTGACTCATTTTTCACATAAAGAAATTTGTGAAAAATGAATTTTTGAGTTTTTTACAAAAAGCTCATTTTAGTACATATTAGCCATTAATGTCTTAAAATAATTACATACCTGTGAACAGTAGTTTTTCAGAAAAGGTACATCGAACATAAAAATTTACATTTTGAGATAAATTGATTTTAATGTATAAAGTGAGACTTATAATCGGCAAGGTAAAAAAATAAAATGCTCAATTTACAATAAAAGATACATGTTTTGGTTTATATCAGACGTTCAAATTTTAAGCAAAAACGAAGTACTTTGTTTACATTTGTCGCCATTGAAATGGGCATGGCCCAGTTTCAACGATTATTTAAAAATAGGTTTTAAGGGCTTCTAATTACCCTAGATGTTAAATTAAGATATTTTAGAAAGGTTAAAATCTGTACAATTTGAAATTGTCAAAAAATAAAAATTTAGCTTTTTAATACTCCTTAAGTCAATTCCTACTCAGGTCAATAAAACGATTTTTTTAGTTATTTTTATGAAATAGTTACAATTAATATAAATATGTGTATACGTATGACAGAATCACAATATTAAATGCAAAATACAAGCCTATTTTCCATTTTCCTTTCTATATAGGGAGTTGGACTATTTTTTTTTTTTTTTTTTTTTTTGTTGCTATTATTTGTTAATTGATTAAATTTAGCTATTCTAATAAAATAGTATAGTAAAAAGAAATTACATTCTCAGAAATGAGACCATTCCAGGTAGGATTTGAACCCACGAACTTCGGATTAGAAGTCCAATGCACTGTCCATTGGCTACTGGGACACAACGAGTCCTTTCTATATATACTGTTGTACTATTATTTTTGTTTGTTACTATTTATTCATTTTTTTAATTTAATGCATTAATCACTATTTGAAAAAACTCTATTAACATCAAGTGTCATCCACTACAAGTTTAAAAAATGTATTTGAACTTGAATGGATGAATAGAAAGTATTTTATTAACGATTGAAAATTTGAGCAAGATATATATATAGATATATATATATATATATATATATATATATATATATATATATATATATGTATATATATATATATATATATATGTATATATATATGTATATATATATATATATATATATATATATATATGTATATATATATGTATATATATATGTATATATATATATGTATATATATATGTATATATATGTATATATATGTATATATGTATATGTATATATATATATGTATATATATATATGTATATATATGTATGTATATATATATGTATATGTATATATATATATGTATATATATATGTATATATATATATATATATATATATATGTATATATATATATATATATATATATATATATATATGGGGAGAGAGTGAACTATAGTTGGAATTGAATAAAATGAGTACCTTAACGCTATTTTCAACAATTTTGAAATTATTCTTATTTGTATAATGTGCGCAAATACAAACATTATATTCACAACTTATTGCTCTTAACATGTAATATATAAATTTAATTCTCGTTGCATTTTGAAATTGTTATTATTGTCCGTGAATATGTGTGAGTGCGTGAACAATTTGTGATTTCTCTTGTCTTTCCACTTCGAAGATTTTGAGTGCTAGGAATTTGGCTACGCTAATTTCAAACCACATAACAGAATATTTGAAGTTGGATTAGTTGGATCTGAAATGATAATTCCAGGTATTGCATTTTGGATGAATAGAAAGGTATATAAATAGCACATGCAGATAAAAGATGTCTGATTCGGGTCTATGGAATTCCTATCATTGTTTTGTGTGCCTAATTGCACTAAAATTGTATTTTTAGTTAGACATCCCTTTATTAAATGAATTGCATTGGTGTCTATTGTTTGAGCAATGCTAGGGAATTTTATGCAGTAATGTCGATGATAGAAAATATGAATTTAGTGTTTAGTTGATGTGAAAAGTAATTAGATTATTAGTTATTCCATGCCTTTTTAGATTTTTATTTTTCAATTCCTACTATTAGTTTACAATCTCCCAATAACTTGTTCACGTTTTCAATCGTTAATATTATACATTTTAAAGCTCTCAATTGAGCTTAAATTTTATATTCACGATAATTTTGAATGACAATACGGTAATTTAATTATATTTACCAAAAATATTTTTATTAAAACTAATTATTCAAAGAATTACAAATACAGCCACGTTGGCATCATTTTTAGCAACTTAGCAACCCTTTTGCCGACTTGTGTCAAAACTTTAAAAAGTTTTTCACGCATTTTAAAGCACTCATTTCAGCTGAAATTTTCTATGCACTATTGTTTTGGGTGACAATAAGATAATTTATTTATAATTAATTAAAATTATTTGACTGAAACTAATTATTTAAAGAATTAGAGATACAACCCTGTTGGCTTCATTTTTAGCGACTTGCCTCAATACTTTAAAAGATTTTTTTCTTGCATTTTAAAGCATTCAGTTGAACTGAAATTTTATATACAAGATTGTTTTGGATGACAATACGACACTTTAAAGATAATTAATAAAAATTAATTGCCACTTAATATTTTGATCCTGTGTGTGTACATATTTAAATTAATTGTAACTATTTATATATATACATATATAATTAAAAGTAACTAAAATAAAATTTTCTCTGTTGACCTAAGTAGGAAATGGCTTAAAATTTTTTATATATCACTTGTGTGTGTTTCATCACAAAGTTAGGTTTTGATAAAAAAATACTCTTATTAATTAGTAATTAACAAAATTTAAATTTCAAAATATAGTTACATATCATTAAATTGAAATTACTTATTGCCCATCTTGAAGTTAGTTGTAAATTTTTGGACATGGAAACAACGAATTATAAGGAAATCTTATAAATTAATTCCTTATAAATAAAAATAACTTCAGAGTAGATAAAATTACGATTTGAAGATTATGTTGATGTTATGAAATAATAAATAAAAAGAATTCTCTTCACACATGGATTATACAGGGTGTATTTAAACACTTGGGCAAAACTTTAAGGGATGATAGTACACATCAAGACAAACAATAGTAAACAGGAAACTTACGGTCCCAAACGTCTTCCGAAGGAGAAAGGTGCCATTAAAGTCCAGGGTTCGAAATTTCAAATGATTATAAAAAACGGAGAAATGGGTAGATTTGTTAGCGGCTTTCGCTAAAATTATTCTTTTTGTCAGTATTTTCTTGAAAAATAAATTTTAAAGATAAAGCTAAGAAAAATGACGATAGAGGGCACTTTAGACTTTAAGAGTAATGAGCAACTATTTTTTATAGTTATTTTTTGTATCACATTAAATACCTTCAAAAGCTTAGACTTAAACTTAAATTTTGAGCTCAAAATTTGTATCGTTGGGGGGTGGTTAAGTAGCGTAAAGTCAACTGTGTTATGGAGGGAAAATTTGAACGCACCTCCTCCCCTGGACACAATTTAGCTATTCATGATCTTCGATGTTCGGTCGTAGATTAGGCAGCAACTACTACCCACTAAACGTAAAATAAACGAGAGAGGGATGACAAAATTAAATAAAAAAGTTATTCATAACAGACATGAGCAATTTCTCCCCACAAAACACCAGATTTGCATGCAAAGTGTAGTACACGAATTTAACTGTATGTAAGGATGTAAAGTTCTACTGCAAAGTGTTCCAGCCAACATAAAGGCTCGTATGTGGTTCCAATATGACGGAGCGTCAGCACATTTCAGCGCAGATGTGCGAAGTGCATATCTTGGGAGATGGATTGGGCGGGGTGGTCTAATAAATTGGTCAGCACGCTCGCCTGACCTCTCCTGCATAGAAAGAAGTCTTCCTCTGAGGCCATATGATGAGTCTTCTTTACGCAAGCCCCATCGACTCCGACGAGGCCCTGGTTGCGAGGACTGCCGTCGTAGTAGGCGATATCCGGGAGATGCCCGGGGTATTTGCTAATGTTTGACAGTCCCTGCACCGGTGGTGTGAGGCCTGCATCTTTGCTGGTGGGCGCTCTTTCGAGCAGTTTTTGTGATTCCGCAAGAAAATCATGCGTGTAACATCTTCTACGTGTCATGTTTCATTCAACCTTCATTCATACGCACTACTTGAATACATCAAATTGTTTATTTTTATTTTGAACAGAGAGGTTGCTCATGTCTATTGTGAATATTTTTTTTATTTGTCATGCCTCTCTCGTTTATTTTACGTGTAGGAGATAGTAGTTGCTGCCTGGTATACGTCACCAAGACCGGGAAAAACTTAACTCTGTTCAGAGGGAAGGAAGTTTCAAATTTCAACTCCTGAACACATTTTACATTTGCGCTACGTATCCATCCCAAAGAATCAGATTTTGAGCTCAAAATTTAAGTTTAAGTCTAAGCTTTTGAAAGCATTTAATGTGATACAAAAAATAACGGTAAAAAATAGTTGTTCATTACTTCAAAGTCTAAAGCGCCCTCTATCGACATTTTTCTTAGCTTTATCTTTAAAATTTATTTTTCAAGAAAATACTGTCAAAAGGAATAATTTTAACGAAAACCGCTAACAAATCTACCCATTTCTCCGTTTTTTATAATCATTTGAAATTTCGAACCCTGAACTTTAATGGCACATATCTCCTTCGGAAGACATTTGGGACCCTAAATTTCCTATTTACTGTTGTTTGTCTTGATGTGTACTATCATCCCTTAAAGTTTTGCCCAAGAGTTTAGGTACACCCTGTATATAGTATATACGCTTGTGATATATGTTTAATAATAATAAAAAACTCCCCATTCTTTACATTTGAATTGAGAAGTATTAATGCATGGAAAAAAATGTGTGTTTGCTTATGACCACACGATAGAAGTGAAAACTTATGATTTATTCTGGCCCAAAAATGCAATTGTTTGGATGTACTACATTTTCTTGTGCGGTGGATTCATCGATGGAATTGTTTATTTCATCCCTTTTCTGTAAAAGGCAATGTTTAAATAGTTATGCATTCGTATATATTTGTAAACAATTTAAATGTCAATTAGTCTAATTATTTAAAAATATTTGGTACTTTTCCGCTTCGCCGGCTCAATCTCTCCAAACAGGCTTTACTAGCCACATCACTCACATAAAAATGTTAATAAATATTAGTTCTCATTAGTGTTTTATCCATATTTAACGTATTATGAAAATTATCTTATTTCTAAGATAAGATCACAACTTGTTTTGAAAATATGATGGTAAATAGTTACTAGTGTGAATACGCCATTTGACGTCGATTGTATTATTTTTGGCGACTAAACGCTTACTCTAGCGAAACGGAAAAGTATAAAATATTTATTAATTATATATGCAAATTAGATTTATATAATACTTAACTTAACTCAGTGACGCGACATCCCATGATGAACAAGGTCTACTGTGCCCAACTCAGCATACACGAACTTGGACCCTGAGGTACGTAAGCAGATGTTCTTGTCAGGCTGTCAATCCAAGGCGAAAACGATTCATATAATATAATATATTTGTTTATATGACATGTTCTATCACAACAATGTAAACTTTCCAGATACCTCGCTAAGTTAACAACCCTGATTTATCAAGTGTCGTACGCGGTGAATTGGTAACCATGAGTTTCCTTTCATGTAATGTGATCAATACCGTTGCGAAAATACGTAAGCACAGTTTAGATAATTTATATAACGCAGATCATAACTTTGTAAGGCAAGGAAAACTTATGCTCTGAGAGCCGTTTACTTTTCTAAAAATTTTGCAAGTAAACGAAAGGAGACGCGGTTCGTACTTTTTCACTGTAAATACTTTTATTTTCTC